TACAACGTCCCTCACTCTGTCTCAGCTGTCACACAAACTGAGATTTTCATTGACAACCCATGTGACAAGTCTGTTGCCCATCGGTTTTTCAGACTGTGGGAGTAATTCACTGTCTGAGGCGTTATTTTAGGAAGATGTCCACTGCAGCTCTGATTAGTGGTTTTATATCTCATTTTGTACCTCCTGATATCTGTTCTAATCATAAAGCCAATGATAGTTCGCGGGTCACAGAACTTTGTGTGTGTTTTGTCACTTTTGTGAAGTCTCACAATCAGATTTTTTGCATCTTTTTCACAATTCTTTTCCACGTGGAACCATAACAGAGACATGAAAATAGACACAGCTCATAAAATTTTTAAAAAAGGTCTGGTGTCGCAGGTTGTTTTGGCATCATGTTCATGCTTTTAGGGTAATTATGCTCAGTTTTTTGTTGCAATGAGTTTCTACGGTGCGGCCTGTATTTTTGATATAATCCTTCTGAAGCATTTGTTTCTGATCGTTCATAAGATCAAATAATCTTCTTGTCGACTTGGAAACAATGCAGCTGTTCAGAGGTGATTCAATTTGAAATCATTTGGCATATAAGTGATTTTGAACAGGAATGTATTCACTGCTTTTGGATTCTGTATTTCACATATGACAGATATACTCATATAATAAAACATACATGTAAAGTGATGTAAAAAAAATTCATACATCTTGTAAAAATTTCTGGGTTTTTGACAAATTTGGACTCGTGAACATTTAATCCTCTGATACAGCGCCGACAGATAAAAGCAGATAACAGTGGCGCACTTGAACATAGCCACATAACCACAAGGAAAATTTTTTTTCAATCATTCATTCATCAAAAATATTAGAAGATGTAATATTCCTCAATGAAAAAACCAGAGGCCTTGACTTCACAAGTTATCAGAGAGAACACCAGACCCTGGGACGGGATGACTAAGCATGTTAACTGTACTGCCAATAAAAGCGAGGAAATTTATTTTTTTGAGTGTTTTGTCGTGCACAATATGCAAACATACTGCAACTTTTCTCAGAAAATAACAATCAGGCTTTTTATAGGATGACATAAACCCTCCAAAGCCGGAAAAACAAAACAAAAAACACCAGTGGGTTTGAAAGGCATGTTTTTTTGGGTTTCTTTTTAAAATTTTATTTCAAAATTACACCATTTATTTAAAAATTAAAAAGGTGAGGTATATGTACTATACATTTTGAACCAATGTAGCTTTGTCACAAGAAAAAATCCAACAGTTGTGAATTTTGGTTCTTTCATAGATTTATTAAAGGTGTTTTGGAAATATGACAAAAATCTCGGTCAAAAGTAAAAGTACAGAGCTGCTTATGCTTGGTTAAGCACCCTTTTGGCCATTTTTACCTTTAGGATCTGTCGCTGCTTTGAAGTGACTTTCTTGACTTGTTCAAGTCAATGATTTGCTTTTTCAGATCTGTGCTGAGCTCCTCAGACTTTTTCCATTGCAGTATTTGTGGCTAATGAATGGATCAGATGGGCCCCGAATTAATTTGCCTCAGAGGAGTCAGCAGCTGTAGTCAATCATGATCACTCATAAGAAGCTAAGAGGCCACGCCACTAAGAAATCAATTAATACAATTTTCTCCATCACCAAAACTGATTGCTCAAGCTGCTGTATGTATATTTTTGCTCCAGCAGATTGTGACATTTCCAGAAGACCTACAGTCGTCCTCAAATGTATTCATTTGTGTAACTCTCAATCAGACTTCTGCACCTGTTGACAGGTATTTTCATTTTGGCCCACTGCTCATCAGCAAAGTGCTCTAATTTGTCCACGGCAGTTTTGTTTATTTATTTATTTTTAATTATTCTTTTCAATGACAATTTTAAGTAATGTCTTATTTCACTAAATTATATTTTAGCAAATTTTAATTTATTATTACTTTTTTCAGTTTCTAGTTTTTTGAGTGACTATTGTGAATTTTGCCTTTTCTTTAATGGAACGGGATGAATACATTTGAGGAAGTCAATGAAAGAACCAAAATGCATGGTTGCCTTTCTGTGACAAAGACACACGTGTTTCAGTGATTCCATCATAGAAAATTCATAGTTATAGGAGTCATTGGAAACTCTTTACACGTGCATGTAAACTTGTGTTCACAGTCTGCATGTTCTACTACTTTGTGTTGTGTGTAGATCCACAGTGAACCGAGCAGCTCTTACACAGTGTTTTGTAACCCCAGTTCAAGCATCATTGCAGTCGGTAGAGACATTTGCAAATGAGCAGGAACGTAACAGCTCCGGAGTATTCTGATTGCATGTGCGACTCCATCCCCTCCGCAAACATCTCCTCAGCGCCGGCTTCCCTGAGTCAACACGCTCCTCAAACAGGGCTCCGCGCTCCGTGTCATGGAAACCGCTTTCATCCAAACGTGAGGAGGGGGAAAAAAAAAAAAAAAAAAAACACCAGTGAGTTTGAAAGGCATGTTTTTTTGGTTTCTTTTTAAAATTTTATTTCAAAATTACACCAATTTTTTAATAATTAAAGAGGTGAGGTATATGTACTATAAATTTTGAACCCATGCAGCTTTGTCACAAGAAAAAATCCAACAGTTGTGAATTTTGGTTCTTTCATAGATTTATTAAAGGTGTTTTGGAAATATGACAAAACTCTCGGTCAAAAGTAGAAGTTACAGAGCTGCTTATGTTTGGTTAAGCATCCTTTTGGCCATTTTTACCTTTAGGATCTGTCGCTGCTTTGAAATGACTTTCTTGACTTGTTCAAGTCAGTGATTTGCTTTTTCAGATCTGTGCTGAGCTCCTCAGACTTTTTCCATTGCAGTATTTGTGGCTAATAAGTGGATCAAATGGGCCCTGAATTAATTTGCCTCAGAGGAGTCAGCAGCTGTAGTCAATCATGATCACTCATAAGAAGTTAAGAGGCCACGCCACAAAGAAATCAATTAATACAACTTTCTACATCACCAAAACTGATTACTCAAGCTGCTGTATGTATATTTTTGCTCCAGCAGATTGTGACATTTCCAGAAGACCTACAGTCATCCTCAAATGCATTCATTTGTGTAACTCTCAGTCAGACTTCTGCACCTGTTGACAGGTGTTTTGATTTTGGCCCACTGCTCATCAGCAAAGTGCTCTAATTTATCCAGGGCAGTTTTGTTTATTTTTTTTAAAAATTATTCTTTTCAACCACAATTTTAAGCAATGTCTTAATTCACTAAATTATAATTTAGCAAATTTTAATTTATTATTACTTTTTTCAGTTTCTATTTATTTGAGTAACTATTGTGAATTTTGCCTTTTCTGTAATGGAAGGGTTTGAATACCTTTGAGGACGACTGTACATTAAGTCAATGAAAGAACCAAAATGCATGGTTGTTTTTCTGTGACAAAGACACACGTGTTTCAGTGATTCCATCATAGAAAATTCATAGTTATAGGAGTCATTGGAAACTCTTTCCACGTGTATGTAAACTTGTGTTCACAGTCTGCATGTTCTACTACTTTGTGTTGTGTGTAGATCCACAGTGAACCGAGCAGCTCTTACACAGTGTTTTGTAACCCCAGTTCAAGCATCATTGCAGTCGGTAGAGACATTTGCAAATGAGCAGGAACGTAACAGCTCCGGAGTATTCTGATTGCATGTGCGACTCCATCCCCTCCGCAAACATCTCCTCAGCGCCGGCTTCCCTGAGTCAACACGCTCCTCAAACAGGGCTCCGCGCTCCGTGTCATGGAAACCGCTTTCATCCAAACGTGAGGAGGGGAAAAAAAAAAAAAAAGATGTGTTGGTCTAATTCCAAATTCAAGGTGAACAGAGTGCGGACGCGCGCTCTGATGCAAATTTCACCCCCACTGCTGCTGCTGCTGCTGCGCCCGTGAACGCGCTCCATCGCTGTCATCAGTACAACATCAGCATCTTCCGGGGGGCGCGCAGAGGAACGGGAGGAGGAGGACGGAGGAAGGGAGAGAGAGGGAGAGAGAGAGTGTGAGAGAGAGAGGGGGGTGGGGGGGAGAGAGAGGAGACATACTGGATAAAGGCTACGACAAAAAACCATGATGATAATGGAGTCGAGGCGGTGGAGGATGTCGGATTTACGAGAAAGGACTGTTGAAATTTGACAGAGGGCTCGCGTTGAAAGCTGGTTCACCATTTTTTTCTTTTTTTTCCTTTTTTTTTTTTCTCTCTCCCCCCATTTCGTTGCGTTTTCGGTTTCCACATGCTGGGTGGACATTAAAGGAGAGGAGAGGGGAGCACCCCACGGATGCCTCGGAAGGTAAAAACGGGGTCCACCGCTGGCGCTACAGGCAACGAGACGCATCTTGATCTCACGGATGGTAATAAAGGACATCCCGAAGAGAGCTCTGGACTGATGGATGAGGATGAAAATCAGCTTTAACCCCCTCCACCCGACGACTGTGAAATAAAGAAAGAAAGAGAGAGAGAGAAAGAGAAAAAAAAATCCTGTTTTGATGGATTTTTGTTAATCATTTATGGTGTAGCCTGAAGGAAACGAGCCTCAGACAGCAATGTTGAATCACTGGTGTTGGTAAATTATTCATTAGAGGTATAGGTAGGCTATGATTTTGTATTGCTTCAATGTAGCATCCCCCCCACCCCCCTCCTCATTAATTTTGACAATGTTTAGTCTTGTGAGATCACACACATATTTTGTTTTATCGTGTGGTTCTGTAGGCCCATTTAATAGCCTTTAACAGAACACATAAGAAACAGCCAAAGCAGGGGAGGTTTTACCCAAGAAAGCTTTCATATAGAGAAAAAGAAAAAAGAAAGAAAAAAAAATCTGGATAGTGAGGTGTGTTGAGCTGTTTTTCTTTTTCTTTCTTTCTTTCTTTTTTTTTTTTTTGAACAAACCTACATTTTTCTTTTTCTTGTAAGAGTCTAAAGAACAAGACGGGGGTGTAATAAGAGATATAAGGAGGAAAGAAGAAAAGAAGAAAAGAAAAGAACAACAACAACAAAAAAAAAAACCCAAACATGTTGCCTTCCCAAGAAGCCTCCAAGATCTACCATGACAATTATATGCGCAACTCCCGGGCCATCGGGGTGCTGTGGGCCATCTTCACCATCTGCTTCGCCATCGTCAACGTGGTGGTGTTCATCCAGCCCTACTGGATCGGCGACAGCGTCAACACGCCGCAGGCTGGCTACTTCGGCCTCTTCCACTACTGCGTGGGCACCGGGCCGTCGCCCAGCCGGGAGCTCACCTGCGTGGGCAGCTTCTCCGACTTCAGCTCCATCCCGTCCGGAGCCTTCAAGGCGGCCTCGGTGTTCGTGCTGCTGTCCATGGTGCTGATCCTCAGCTGCATCGCCTGCATGGCGCTCTTCTTCTTCTGCAACACCTCCACCGTTTACAAGACCTGCGCCTGGATGCAGCTGCTGTGCGGTAGGAAACCTCCACATCCTTTTTTTTTTTAATTTTATTTTTTTCCCCCTTTTCTTTTATGTGGGTCTATAGCTGAGAATAGAATCTGTGTTTTAAGTCACATAGCCGTGGAAGGAGGTAAAACCCACCCAAAACTCAGTTCTGTGTCACAGACACCTTTACGCAGCTGTCATCAGAGTGTTGGTGCTGGAAAACCACATTTTTTATTGAGGTGGTTCCCTCATTTAAACCAAAATCTGTTGATATTGTGAGAGGATGCAAGCAAAGTAACCCTGTGAGAGGTGTGAAAAGATGACAAAGATGCTGTTCGTGCACAAATACGAGCTACCGCTGGCTCCCGCTCCTACTGAAAGGACTATCCTGTGGCTGGGTAGCAATAAGGTGAAAGGTGTGTGTGCAGCAGCTCCATTGTCTTTTAGTGCGCTGAGATCGATACGCTGTAGTCTTAAGGGTATATAGGCCCTGTCATGTTCCTGCTAATTAGGAGTGTTGTACAGATTTTCCATTCCTGCAACAACAGCACGGGAGACAGTAGGAATACATTTTAGCGATTACTGGAGGCAGGAAGAGACCCGGAGCTCCCCCACACCCCCGTAACCATTGATATTCCGAGGATACACCGCTGCATCTCTATAGAAAGCAGCAGCAGGATCATTGCTTTATGCTGATGAAATGCAGATGTCATCCATCCATCCATCCATAGGATGTGATGCGTGCGCTGCAATGGAGGATTCCTGTCGCTGCCGGCTTGTATCGGGCCCTCTCGCTATTTGGAGGGATGATTCCAGGTCGATTGGATTACCGTTTTTTCACGGAGGTGATGTTTTGTCGGACGCTCTTGTGGGTAGATTACAGTTTGAGGAGGCGATTGGGGACAAACGGTGGTTTCCTGAACACATGTAGGACAGACTGCTGCCTTCATGGGATGTGGAGGGGAGAAAGGTGGGAATCTACAAACGGGAGGGCTTTGACGGTTCAGTTTGGAGTCATGCAGATGGCAGAGAGGATGTTGTGCTGGAAATATGGGGCATGTAGGGGGTCACTGAAGGAGGTGTGGGTAAGACACTGATGACTGGAGGTCCATATTCAGGAATTAAGTGGAACCAGATTGGGGGATTCCCTCCCCACACACACACATTATAAATCAATCTGCAAATTATCACTTTGAATAAATGATATAGTCAATCAGTTCAGTAAGGAGCAATTCAAAGGCGCAATGAGTAGTTCAATATATAAGAAGGAGAGAAAAAAAATCATGAAAACACAATAAACCACATTATAAATATCGTCATAAAGAGCTATCTAAATGCTCATATAAAGTGCAGTACATCGTCACCAAACTACACACAATGCAAGTTCCCATAAACCCAAAAGTTGTTTGTTTACATGACTGATGATGAGGAAATCTTTGCATTAGTTTTCATTTATTTCTTTTAACAGTCTTTGTGCTCATTTTCAATGCTGCAACAAAATGCAAGATTGTCGTGTAAGAACAAGACGAGTGTATCCGTGGTGATGAGACATGATTAGATGCCAAGTAAGCAAGACTTTAACCTGTGAGTAGCACCGTGTAGTATATCTGAGAAGGTGCAAAAAAAAAGGAAGAAAAAAAAAAAAAACAAGCCCCACGATCCCTCTCATACGCACATCTCCGGCGAGCCTCCTGTGTATATCCAACTTCTTTATAAGCTGATCAATGTGATAAATAGGCCAGGCAGAATAGCGTGGGAGTCAGTTTTCTGTACAGAAACAGTCAGCATACTGAATGAGATGGAGGGAGAAAGACGGAGAGCTAGAGAGATCAGCACTTTTTTTTTTTTTTTTCCTTCTGTATTGTTCTTTTCCTCATCTGCCCACTCCGTCCTCCGTTCTGCCGAGTGTGTTGAAAGGGCTCGCTGCTCTACAATCAGCACGAATCGGACAGAATAGCAGAGGTGCTGATTTTTTTTACTTTTTTTTTTTTCTCTCTTTATTGGAATCTTCATGACTTAACAGGAATTGAACCGAGGTCTTCCTGCACACCATTAATCAAGCAAAACAATGGCATGAGTGTCCACATCCGTTACTGAAGCACATTTTTAAAAGAGAAAAGAAAAGGAAATGCCCTTTTTTTTTTTAAATTCCCACTTGAAAACATGTCCCTAAATTCGATCAGCAACACTTCTACAACTGTAAAACAACCTTGGACTCTGTGGATGAGACATTTTGCGTAGTCAAGTTGACATTTTTACTTCCACCTAATTAAAAGTGTAAATTCGAGAGGCCAGTGACAGCCTTCTAACAATGAGTCAGTGGCACTGATGTTATCGAACCTGTTCTAAAAATTCTAACTGCAACCCTGACGAAGAACAGAAACAAGGAACAGTAATGTCACATTCAGCCTGGTCCTGGGACAGGGACGTCCAGGGAGGAAAGGGTTAAGGTCCTACATTAGGGATACATTTGGTGATATTTCGCTTACTGTCAACAAACCATGATGTAGCTCATTCCTAGTTTTCCCCAAAAGAAGCCTAAAAGCAGCCATCACTTCCACACTTTTAACAACTTTCTACAGACGGGGGCTGGTGTTCAATCACAGTAGACAACACAAGTTTTATGGATTTGGTGACACAAGCCTCACAAGTAAAAGTATTTTCATGTAATATAATCAGAACCATAAGGGCCGGGCACTTTCCGAAAGATCACCACGTGCTCCAACTCTGGATGTAAAAGGTAAAGAGATTCACTTTTTTCCTGGAACTACTTACAACCTACGACTGTTTTTTATTGGTAGAGGTCATAGTCTGTAACACTGTCCTGTATTTTTCTTTTTAAAAATGATTTCAACTAGAAATTTTAGTCTGAGAAACAACTGCAGCTGTTATTTATTTCTGAAATGTGGAAGAGCAGAAATATGAAGTGACAAATGTGGAAATACTCTGGTAAAGTACAGGTTCTTAAACATGTACTTGAGTGCAGTATTTGTGCTTAGTTACGCAATAAAAGAATGAAAATACACACCGTGATGATACGGACGAAGCATATGTGATGAGGCATGTTGCATTGCTCCATAAAATCAGTGCGACTCTACTGTAGCACATTTGCAATCCCACCATCCATCACCAAGATCACATGGTGACATTGAGCATTTCCTGCTTATCTGAGCTGGCTTTTGATGATTTAAATTTCAGCCGTTGTTTAGCAAAATCGATAAAAACTGGAAGTCTGCAAAATACACCAGCTTATTTTCATTTGTCTGGGAGTTTTTCTTCCACATAGTGTGAGTAAATCTTTAAAAAAAAAAACCTGAAATGTAACAGCATATCATCTTGATTTCTTCCCACACGTGTTCCATCAGTGCTGGGTGTAATAAAGTGTCTGTCATTTTTATTCCCAAACTAAATATACAACAGTGTTGCTTCTAATTTGTCAGAGCTTGTGACACTTCCGAAGGTTTTACTGTCCTTCCAGTGGACGCATATGATGTGTGGTTGGAGGTAGGTTGTCTAATGGGCTTGGCAGACGGCCTAATGCTGTTCACCACCTTGGAGATGGTCGTTTAATCATCCACTCTGCCCTGCTGGGTGCAGCAGCAGGTCTCCTGGCATGGCACAGTGACAGAGCGCACCGTAGCAAATACAGTAAGGGCCGATCCGAACCGTCGGTGGCCCAGATTTAGGCCAAATGGACCAAAAGTGTCAATGAGGGAGCAGTTTGGGTGCTGATAGCAGTGGTCGGTTAGCGTGTGCTGCGGGAACAAGAAGGTACGTGTTCCCCCGGTGCAAGTTCTTCTCCTCACCGTCACGCCAGCGGAAACTGTGGAAAAGTTTGACCGTCCACGCGGGACAGCAGTTTTCTTGGCGTAGCTTCATGTCAGATTCTGGATGAGTGGCTCCTCTAACTGGGGAGACTGATTGGTTTAGGAAAGGTTAAATAAAAGATGAGAGGAGAAACTGGAACCTGGGCCAAAACGCTGGGATGCAGGACTCTTGGCAGTGCAGATTTACACAGTGTGTCTTGGCATCTATAAGCTGAAAATAGGCCAATGTCGGCCTCTATGCATGCTGAACTGACCAAATGTGAATAAGGTTAATGCACTCGAAAAGGGCTTTAAGATGGCACTCATAACTCTTGGCAATAAAGACCGACTATATGCACCGATAGGCCTAAATGAAGGTTTACACTGACCTGCTGATTGCAGAAATGCTGGCAAAGCTGCAGTACAACACGGACGCAAACATGAGCCAAGAAAAGTTCGCAAAAGAAACCAGTAAAACCTCACGATGTTCCATGCGTGCTGCACTGCTGTTAGAAAACCCAGGAGGAAGTGATTCCAAAACCCTGCAGTAATAAATCAGGGGTCTGTGTCATGAAGTGAGGTTGCTGTGTAGTAGCTGCGTATCCACTTATCTTTGGGCTTAACTCAGTATCATAAAGCTCACTTCATTGGGTTAGTCCACCCTGTTAGGTTAGGATGTTAACATGGGCATTCTCTGTAGTAATTTGTTTGGTAGTTTACCAGCAGAATAATAAATGACAGTCATTGCTGCATACAGTGTAGATGCCTTTTAACTAAACAATACATTCGCTGGAAATAAAACAGCGATTCACCATCAAGTTTTATTTCAAAGAATCCACATATTGTTAAAAGTCCAATTCAACTCAATGCAAAATGGATGAACAGAGTCCACAAACTCCTTCCTCTGCATCTTTCCTCCGTTGGTGTTGTTTTAATATAACTCCTCTGTACCTCAATTGCATTTTGGAAGAAATGTATTTTGTCCTGCGTAGGTAACAGCGTGGTGCAGAATGAAACATTAGTTCAACATGTGGGTTCATTGTTTTTAGGCTTAAGTGCTGTTTTAACCCACTGGTTTGGTTTGGTTTGGGAAAACATCACTCTTTTGGTTAAAATCCAACATGTCTGAAGCTTCTCCTCCATCTTCTGACTTAATAGGATGACAACCCAAGTTAATGTGTGATTGGTTGGCTGAAAAAGAGCAAAAGTTGGGGAAAAAAAT